CAATATGGTATTGGCATAACTTCTAGTTCAATGGAACAGAATATAGGAATAAACCCTCACATACATAGTATACTAATATTTGGCCGTGGGAGCCAAAAACACTCAATGGGTGAAAAGTCTCTTTGTTAAAGGTTATGAGGAAAATTGGATACACTCACATGAAAAATAATGAAATTGGATCCTTTCGAACAAAAATCAACTCACAATGGACTAAAGACTTAAATGTAAATCCTGAAACAAAAAACTCTTGGAAGGAAGCAGGGCAAAGCTTCTGACATTGGAGCAGACAATTATTTCTTTTGATACCAAAAGCACAGGCAATATAAAGCAAAAATAAAATGGAATTACATCAAACTATAAGCCTCCGCACAGCAAAGGGAGTCATCAACAAAGCAAAAAGGCAACATATAGAGTCGGAGGAAATATCTGCAGACCATTTATCTGGTAAGGGGTTAATATCCAAAGTATATAACGAATTCCTATGTCTCAACAGCAATAAAACCAAGTAATTCAATTTAAAAACCAGACCTTTCCTGGCCAAAAGACATTTCTTGCTAAAGAAGACCTACAAATGGCCAACAGGTATGTCAAAATGTCCTTCATGTCACTAATCCTCAGGCAAATCAGAACCACAATAAGTTATTGTCTCTTTGGTTATTACATAAAAAAAAAATAGAAGGGACAAGTCTTGGCAAGGAAGTGGGGAAAGGGAGCTCTTGGTGGGAATGTAAATTAGTACAGCCAATATGGAAAACAATGTGGGGGTTGCTCAAAATATGAAAACTAGAATTCACATTTAATTCAGCTGTGGAGAGCAAGATGGAGTCACTCACGTCAAGCAGCAATTCATGTGTGACCTAAGCAGCCAAGGGCGTAGCAGCTAAGCCCAGTTATCACCCAAACCTGCACAGGCTGATGGCAGCCAGAACTGGTAACCATCAAAGCCAAGAGAGCCTGGAAGAATGAAGAGCTGGTAATCACGAGGACCAGAAGAAGTCTGCAAAGGCCCAAGGCTGATTAAGCCCCTTTAAGAAGGAATAGCTTTGGCAGCACGTATAACTTCCTGTCAGACTGTCAGGCTCTCGACCTGCCCTCTTCCAAGTCTGACTGCCCTAAAGAGGCAGCCGCTGCTTCAGGCTCTGCCTAGCTGGCCTGTGAACATAGTAAAGATTCTCCACTACTTGAACAGAAGAAGCAGTGAGTGCTGAGAGCTGACCCGGAACCAGAGTCCTTACTTCAAGGGACACTCACAGACTGACTCTGAATTCGCTTTGTTAACTTCTTACGCCTCACTGTTTCTTCTTGGTTGTGTGACTTTGTATTGTAGTCGGTGTGATGTATATGAAGCCAAGTTGTAGGTCATTGAGTTGAGAACCCTGAGCCAGCTTTACAATCATGTTAACCTTCATGACTGGATAAAGCTGCCCTTGTGGAAAGACACAATTTGTGTACATGCCTTCACAGTGTAGAGGGGACACTGGCAATCTTCTTTCTGGGTGTATACCTAAAGGAGTTGAAATCCAGATCTTAAAGAGATCTGATCTATATTCTCCTGTTCACTACAGTATTACCACAGTAGCCAAACTAGGCCGACATCTTAAATGTCAATTGGCAAATGGATAAGGAAAATATGGTATAGATGGACAACATCCCATTATTGAGCCTTGAAAAAGGATGTCCTAGGTAGACCTTGAAAGCATTCTAAGTGAACTAAGCCAGTTAAAGGACAAATACTGCATGGTCTAACTTCTAGGTAGAAACTAAAATAGACTCATAGGGGCCGCTTAGGTGACTCGGTTAAGAGTGTGATTCTTGACCTCGGCTCAGGTCATGATCTCATGGTTCTTGAGTTCGAGCCCTGTCACTGTGTTGACAGCATGCAGCCTACTTGGGATTCTCTCTCTCTCTGTCCCTCTCCAGCTCTCTCTCTCAAAATAAATAATCTTAAAAAAAAAAAAAAAAAAAAAAGGCTCCTAGAAGCAGAGAGCAGAATGGCAGTTGCCAGGGGGCTGAGGGAGGGGACAAGGGAGTGTTGGTCTCTTAGTCTCCCTCTTTACAATGATTATTGTGAATATTGAATAAGGTAATGGAGTAAAAAAAGTCTTTGGCATCCTGCCTAGCTCATAACTTGCATACAGTAGATGTTAATTTAGTTGTGAAATTGGCATAGATCTGAGTACTTTCAAGTCTATTTTTTAAATGTTTTATTTAAAAATGTTGAGGGGGGAAAGAAAATGAGCAGTGGAGGTACAAAGAGAGGGAGACACAGAATCCAAAGCAGGCTCCAGGCTTTGAGTTGTCAGCACAGAGCCTGATGCGGGGTTTGAACCCACAAACTGTGAGATCATGACCTGAGCCGAAGTCAGCAAGCCAGGCGCCCCCTTTCAAGCCTACTGAAAGGAGATCTGACGAGTAAATCCCAAGCAGTAGCCTGCTGCAGTGGACGTGTGTGAACGCTTAGAACAATGTTAGAGTTCAGGCAGGGACACAGATCCTAACACATTTTCCAATGTATTAGTAAAACCTTAGAAAAATAATGCATCTTAAAAAATGATTTTAGGGGTGACTGGCTCAGTTGGTTGAGCATCCGACTTTGACTCATGGTTGGTGGGTTTGAGTCCCACATCAGGCTCTGTGCTGACAGCTAGGAGCCTGGAGCCTGCTTTGGATTCTGTGTCTGCCCCTCCCCTGCTTGGGTGCACACATTCTCTCTGAAAGATAACTAAAATTTTTTTTTTAATGTTGATGTGGTAGTACCCTCAGAACCAGCACCCAGGGATCAGGAATTGTCTATGCATTATTTTCCTTTGTGTAATAAGATGCTGTGGCTGTGAATGTTGCCAGACATGTGACCCATCATTTTATCCAAACCGTGTAAATAAGACTATCTTCTGCTGCAGCTGCTGAAAGCACAGAAGTTGCTAGGGTGGCCAGACCATCCTTTGTTGCGCTACACTATTTATAGCTGTGCTTTAGTATAGGCCACAATGGCTTGGTGACCTGCATTTGACCCCGTGGTCAGCATTTCCTCAATGAATCATGGTCACTGTAATATTTGTCTTGACATCATTGATTTGGGTTTGAGGTACCAGGAATCCTTGGAAAGCTACTTGGCCAATATTCGGGTACAAGGACGCTTAGGTGTAGCCCCAGGGTCATGACAGCCATCCTTCAGTCAAGATTGACTGAAACAAAGCTTATTTCATGTTTGTTTAATGGCTTGGCATTAGTAGTTCAGAACAAATGCACTGACGATCTACCAGGTGGCAGGTGCTATCAAAGCTGCTAACTTTTATTCTCCATCGGTAATTGGTTCAAGGAAATAAGACCTTGAAGAAAAATGCCCTCTGGCTGATGTGTGATGATCTGGGAAACAGATGATGGTCAGGTGGGCTGTTCCGGCGCCTGTGAGCACCCACTGCCACGGAGGTCTATGCTCACAGTGCCGACGCCGGCGCAGGGCAGAAGGGTTGAGAAAGTGGGACTTGGTCTCCCGGTGTGGCTCTGCCCTGCTGCAGGGCTGATGGGCAGAAACCAGCAGGGACACCCCTAAGTGGAGCAGTCCCAGTGATTGGCAGTGTGGCGAGTGCGAGATTAGGATAGCCCAGACCCATGCTCCCAAAAAACCCCTGCCTGCCTCCTCCTCTGCCTGTGGGACTGAGGGAGGAAGCTCGGGCAGAGTTTAAGCAATTCAGCCCTGGGGACTCCACCACTAGGCTCCTGGGGAAATCCTCTCCACAGCAACGGACAGGGCATTGGGGGGTGGGGGGAATCCCCTAATAATGAAGGGTCATTCTGTGTCGTGTCCTTCGAGCAGTCCTCCTTACATCTTACCCTCACTACTTCTGCCCAGAGTGGAGCTTTGAGGCTCATCTTCCGAAATTCTTGGGTGGCCAGAGTTTTGCTGTCTCAGGTATTAAAGGTTTCCATTTGCTTCATCTCTAGGAAGCCACTCTCGATGACCTCCCGTTGACAGGCTTTTAGACTCTTTCTCTGTGATCTGTCATAGCGGCCCTCACACTCGAGTACATACCAGAAGCACCTGGAGGGTTTGTTACAACGTGGACGGACGTGGGCATCTCTATCACGTGGAGGTGATGGAGCTAGGCCAGGGACAGTTTGAGAACCACTGGTCTTGTAGAAGGAAAAAAAAATCTTGTAACCATCCGACCTACTGTGTTGTGCCGGAGTCCTGTGAGAGCTGATCTCTGATCACAAAAGGTTTTCATAGTAACTCTGTCTCCCATTGACTAAAAATCTATAGAACTAGACTGAAACACTTAGATGGGCCCCGATTCTTAAAATGGGAGTTTCATTGATTAAAAATATCTGTGAACACTCCCACCTACAGCCACCTGCTACCCCACACTTAAACCTCTGCAGCAACATAAAGCTGAACGATCACTTTTGCTTTATTTAGCATCTGCATGTAGTGTTACTCAGACCTTTTCAAGAGTACACCGTGGAGTAGTCTTCCGTTGTTGACAGGATTACAATGGAACCAAACTAGATAGAATCTTCAGTTTTTCGAGGTTCAAAGTGATTTAATGTTAAGTCAGAACACTGGCTCTGCAAAGTACTCTAAGGAAGTGCCCGTGGTTAAGGAAGTTTGACAGATGAGAAGCTCCGGAATGTGCAGCAAGTTAACGAGCCTGTGGAAGACTGGAGTGGTTTCCAGGCATAGCTTTTCCGATCCTGAAAAGCTGGCTGTACCTTGCTTTCAGAAAGCCCGGAGGATTACTGAGCATTTATAAGTGAAACAGTCTGAATCAGGAGACTGATGGAAAACCAAAACTTCCAGATGAGTAGTATACTTTATTTCCACTGAATCTTTCCGATGTCTTAGTTTCTTTCCACTTATTTTTTTCTAGAGGTGGGAGGCAGGGAGAAATTTAGATGAACCAAGAGTTAGTCAGTCAAAGGCCTGGTACAGTTGTGGAGGAGCCTGGGAAGGGAAGGGCCTTGTAACCGAGGGGGGGAAAAAGCTGCTGACACGTTCCTTGTAGCACAATTCAAGTTTATTCCATTTGTTCTTGCAACACAAAACTTAAACACAGTATTATTTAGCATTCGGATGTACATGAACTAGGATAATATGAGAAACCCAATTGTGTCAAAAGTATTACATTGTGGAAAAAATGAACTCAAATATATCAAAATGCACAAAGCACTAGTCTTCCTCCATTACTGCTTAGAAAGATATGATTGTTTCTCCATTTACAAAATAGAATCAGGACGATTTAAATTCTTAAAATTTTGCATGCAAAACACTGCAATTGCTTATGTAGGAGGGCACTCTCCCCAGCTTCTTCTATACACAATCGAGTACACAATATTGCATGAAGTAAAGAGCAGCTCAGTTGAAGTTTTAAGGGGGAAAAAAAAAGTCGGTACATACAGATTTCAGATCCATTATTGGGGGGAAAGAAATCAATGAAAGGGCCTTACTTGCCTGCAGCTCGCACACACTGCACCCACCTGCCTCTCCTTGGTGCCCCACTGGCTGGGGAAGGTGAGCTACGCACAGAAGAGCTACCTGGGGGTACATGGGTGCTGCACTCCAACCTGGGTGTACGGATACAGGTCTGAAGCCGCGAGGGGGACTGGTTAGTACACTACCGTGAACAGGCACAGTGCCTGTTGTTACTGGATATAGTGCATACAAAATGACTCCATACAAAACTACAGAACATGCAAGAGTTTCTCTGAGATGTTAAATATTCAGTGGAGAACAAAACTTAACCTTGTACTAATGCATGTAGTACCAAAAAGCAGACATGTTTTTAGCTTCCTTTACTCAAAAAATGAACATTAAAGTGTTGTGAATTTCTCTGCCAAGTGGTTCAGAAATACATTATAAATAAACTAGTTAAAAAAATGGTAAACCATCTTGGCCAGTCTATTCTATGTTGATGTTATTTGTCAAGCAACTGCTCCAGAACTACGGGGCTTCTGAATGGCTGAGAAAGAAGAGGGAAGGCGGAGTAGCCTCTACTGCACTACAGGGAACGTGGGATGAACTGCACAAAGAAGCACATGGTCTCTACACCAGTGACGGCAGAAAGCAGACCGGGTTTAGGAATGATAGGACAGTGCACTCTCTGCACCCGCCAACTACAACAGGTTTGAAAGGAAGGGTGAAAACTATAGAAGGTAAAATCCAAGCCTTTCAAAAGCAATCTGCCAGGAGGTGAAAACAAAGATCTCAAAACACCTTGTTGCTACCAACTGATTAAGTGCCCTCCATCTTCAATGAGGATCGCTCTGTTTCCGCTCAGTGATGTAAGAAAGCACTGTTGTTGACTGACTTCGAATCCAACATGAATAGGCTACATTACAACTGGAGAATTAGCCAAAGATATCAAAGTATTTCAGCCACCATTTTGTTTGTGATTGTTTTCTTGGATGCAGGAAAATTACAGTGTTAGGCTAGTTGTAAGCAAAAAAGCCACAGGATTTAAAAAAAAAAAAAAGTCCATGGAAAAAATACACACGCACACACACACACACGCACCCATAAATCCACACCCTAACAAACCGATCAGCAATCGATCAATAAGATTTATTAGCTGGCTATTCTTGATAGTTTAACCCTGCTTTAGAATGCTACATTGCCTTAAAAAAATCATCATTAATTCTTTGTGATCCATAATCTGAGTGTAAGTCCCTAACCCAACCCCCCTTTAAAAATTTGAAGTACATTCAATTATTGCATGATTTGGCTGAGGAAAAAACCCTACAATTTTTAGCAAGCTTTTATGGATGGCAAGCAAAGGAATCAGTATTTTAAATGCAAGATAGCAAATTTAAGGGTATATGGTTTAATTACTTGGACTGCTCATGGAATAAACATTTGAACATGTGTCTAAATGTTTCCTGCAGGTCTTCACACCCGTTTTAGGGCGCTGTATGTTAAGAACATGGGACACATTCTGGAGATGTCACACTTACTGTGATGAATGGGTTAGAGACAAAAATCTATCACGTAGGTGGGCTGGCATATGTTCAGCAAAAGCCTATCGACAACTCAGGGAAACCTGGTAACAAGCGTATTTTTGAAGGGACGGGGCTCAACTTGTCCAGATTGTAAATCTCACCCCAGTGACAGCTTTGGTGCAGTAAGTAATCAGCATCCAAGGTGGGTCTGAGAGAGGATTTCCAAAGAATGTTCCTTGATTCGCCAAACATAACCGAGGCCAATCCATTCAAAGAGCAAATGAAGAAAATCCGTAGGTACTAAGACCACTGTTCTCTGTACGACACTCACAGGCTATGGCTATGATTCTATGTTTAAATCCCCTTTTACTACCAGCAGGAGTCTGAAAGTGTTTGAATGTTATATAAACGTCTGAATCTAGAGGAGAAAAAAAAATATGCACACTGGAATGATTTCTCCTTTAGGCTTCCAAAATTTAAGAGTTTATAAATAAAACTAGTCAGTTTTATCTAAAGACACATGAAACCCATGTGAAAGGGGAGAGGAAATCCAAAGTTGAGTCATCCAGCAATTTAGGAGTGTGCCCCCTCACCTTAACTGAGCTCCCACGTGAAGCTGAAAGTCGCCGAGGGCAGATTTGGTCGCCGACCGCGGGCAGCGCTCTGAACTCCGCCAGGAGGCCCCCAGGAGAGCGCGTCTTAAGGCAGAAGGCTAGAGCCGATCGCTGATCTCAGCACCCAGAGTTACGTTCACAGCAGCCGCCGCCGCTGCTCGCATTTAGGGCTACCACACCCGGAGAGCTGGCCTGGCACAATCAGACCCTCGACACGACCTAAGGAATACACTAGCTAGGGAGCTGGAAAGGTCAAATCTTACTGGCATGTTTTGTCTCTGCTCTCCCTTGGGTACGGGCGGTATATTTTGTTGGAAATGGAAAAGAGGCGGACTTGATCAGGAATCCGAGCAAGAGCCTGATCACGGTTTTTTCCCCCTCTCTTCCAAAACATTGTTTTGTTTTGTTTTTCTGGTAGTCTGATTTGTTATGAATTTCTCTCTCCCCTCACCCCTCATAAAGTGTAGCTGAAGAAGCTGGCAGATAGAGAGTGACAGACAGACAGGCAGCAGTGTGAGGCCACAGGAGAGCCCTTCCTCCAGAGCTGTCAGCCGGTCCGTCCATCACTGAAGCAGAGCTTTGATTGCCTGGTTGTCAGTGGCTTCAAAGGCAGTTAATCCATCTGGACCTTTCACAGTCTTATCAGCACCCTGAAAAGAGAGGGAAGAGCCATTAATGCTAAATGAGCCCATGGGGAAAGAAGAGAACTCTCTTACCTGCAAAGGCTACTATTCATGTTGAGTTAATTCCCATCCTAACAGAGTGACTTCTATTGAATGAAAAACCCCCAAATGTTTGGCAAGGTTGTAAGATTAAGTTGTAAAATTACCAGATGATTTTTTCGGCGCCACAAACTCAACTTGCCAGTAACAGGCAATGACTGCCTTTCATTTACACGATCGTGCATTCACTAAGCTTTAAAAGATGATCTCTATGTGTAATATAAAACAGTGGGGAGGGGGGCTGGGTGGCCCTGTCGGTTAAGCATCTGACTTCAACTCAAGTCACAGTCTCATGGTTTGTGAGTTCGAGCCCCAAGGTGGGCTCTCTGCTGTTAGTGCGGAGTCGGCTTTGGATCATCTGTCCTCCTCTCTCTCTGCCCCTCCCTTGCTAGTGCACTCTCTTTCAAAAAAAAAAAAAAAAACCTCCGGGGATATCACTTTTGCTAAAGAAGAAATTACTAAATTATTTTTCTTTGTAACCTCTTGTGGAGGGTGCATAAATATTGCACGTCTAAAATTCAGAGCTTGCAAACCATTTTATTTTTTTTTTATTTTTTATTTTTTTAAAATGTTTTATTTATTTCTAGGAGAGAGAGAGAGAGAGAGAGAGACAGCGTGAGCAGGGGAAGGTCAGAAAGAGAGGGAGTCACAGACTGAAACAGGCTCCAGGCTCTGAGTTGGCAGTCAGCACAGAACCCGACGTGGGGCCCGAACCCACGAACCGTGAGATCATGACCTAAGCGAAAGTCGGACGCTTAACTGACTAGGCCACCCAGGCACCCCCAAACCATTTATTTTAGACACTTTCCTAAAGAGCACTATGTAATACTGCTCATCAGGTTTACCAAAGCTGAGCAGTTGAGCAGTAAAGGATTGCTCTGCGGGCTATGGAGGATGTCCCTTCTGTGCTCTGGGGAAGTCCTCCCCAGCCTGCTCCAATGCTTTATCTGGAGAGTGTGGCTCTGGAATTTTTCACTCGCGACACGGCATTTCCGTTCTCTGAGACCGTGTACACACGTACACCTCTGTGTCTGTTTTAGCTGCTTTACTGAAACGAAGCTCCACGGGAGGGGGGGGTCTTGTCTGTATTAATTACCGCTGTGTTCCTAATACCTAGAATAGTGCCTATCACCTGGGAAGTGAACTTGCTCCCACACGAGGTCGGAACTTTTTAAACTCTCAGAGACCCCAATATTCCACCACCCAGAGCTTCTCCTTCCTGGTTCCAGCCCTCACCAGTGTTGATGACTAATCAACCAGCCTCTAGCGTCTCCCCTTTCTCCTCTTACCAAATCTCCATTGTTCCTCTGAAGGACTTACAGAATTGTCTACACTTGGTATAAATGGTCACTTAGAGACCAACTGGAGTCCAAACCACGAATCTCCTCTCCCATTAATCTCTCACTGCTCTAGTCCCAGGGGGCCCCTCACCACGCCATTACACGTATGGGTTCCACACAGAACACCTTCCCCCCTTGCTCTGACATTCACTCATTCAATGGGATAAGATAGGAGTATGTAAGGGAAAAAGGCTTCCTGGAGGAGGTACTGCTTCAGCTGAGTCTTGATGGATAAATACAACTTGATTAGGTAAAGCAAGAAGGAATAGATGGCATTCTACAAGTGTTAGTTAAACTGTTGCAAAGTCCTCCTCAGTATGATTGTAACAATTTCTATTTCCTCATTTTGTAATTGAACTTAACCACTTCATGGAACACAACACAACTCCTGGTCAAATGGGAGAGACATGTGTGAACTTCAGTGGGTAAGTCCTCTACAGGTTGTGTGGCAATAACTAGGATCGCTGTGTTTAAAGCCAATTCTTATTGGATAGCTACTTTCATGATCAGCATTATAAACTATAATTCTGCAGTAACAAGTTAAATATTACAGTGAACACCAGTTGCTTTTTTAGCTGCCAGAGTTCATTTCCCTTCTTCTGAAAACAGCATCCGAATTTCAAACTGGGGAATCCTTTGTCCCCACTGTATGGAGTCCTGGGACTATGTAACTGAAGGTGCCGTGTATCTTCCTCACCAAATGTCAGAGCTTTACTTGACACACAGGACTCTTACTTCTGATTTTGAATCTTGACTGGAGAGCAAGAGAGAGAATAAAAAGTAAGCGTTCGCTTCTCGCGGTGGCATAACCCAGAGGAGACCATGGAGGAGTTCCTGCCCCCCGAGTCCCGCAGCTGCCACCTTCCTGCCGGAGCCTGGTCCTCCAGCCTTCCTGCTGCTCCTGGAATAGGCCAGGTCTTCAAAAAACGCCTGTTTTCTCTCTGGTAATTTCTGCCATTTGCAACAACAACAAAAATCTAGCTGATTTACATAAGTCACTTTTCCCCTAATTTTAATGGACTCATCACAGCACTCAGAATACACAAAAACCCATATGACTCCTAATTCTGTAAGACACATTTGTTAACATTTTAGTGTTTGTCTACACTTTTGTCCTAAAAATAAGCATATGCTGTAAACGTATTTCTTTTAAACCAAAATGAGTAACCCTAGAAGAACTACAGTGACTATGTATAGACAACAGAAACTTTAAAACTAACCAGCCTTATTACAAAGATGGGCATTTCATAGATAAAAGGTTGAATATTCAAATTATAAAAATGAAATTGAGAAAACCGTTCCATTTATAACAGCATCAAAAAGAAAAAAATACTTAGGAATAAATTTAACAAAGTCAAACCAGTTCTGCAACAGATGAACCAGTTTTGTCAATGTGGATAAGAAAATTAAAATGATTTTTTTAGTGCCTGATGCAGTTGCTAGAAAACATTTAAAAATTAGTATATTTGACTTGAAACCATTTTTAATAATTTTTTAATTCTAGTGATTTTCATAGCTCTCAGTAATACACTCAGGTCACTATTTGCATTATTAACTTTAGATGCTACCTTCTTATTTCCTGATACATGGGTGAGGCTTCAGCTCACCACCATCTTCTTTCCCAGACCCTTCCAATTTCCTATATTTAGAATATCAGGTTCTCTTTAATTATAAATTAAAAGGACATTCACTTTTCAACTTTTTAAAATTTACTTTTATTTTTTGAGAGTGTGCATGTGTGTGCATGGAGGGGTTGAGGCAGGGGCAGAGGGAGAGGTTTCAAGCAGGCTCCATGCTGATTGAACATGGGGTTCGATCTCAAAAGTGTAAGATCATGACCTGAGCCAAAGTCAAGAGTCTGACGTCTACCTAGTTGAGCCAACCAGGTGCCACTAAATGATAGCTTTTTAAGCCTTTGTTTCTCATTCCATTGGTTTGGACAGTATCTCATCCCTCTGTAAGATTCATTCTCTGCCTTCCCATCAATCCTTCCACCTGTTAACTTGCCAGCTTTTTTATTCTGTCAAGACGAACTTTCATATTCTGTTCTGAAAAAAGTTTTTTTTTTTTTTATCCTTTAAAGTCACCATGGTGTATATTACATCCCCAGGACTTCTTTATCTTTTAACTGTTACATCTGAATCTTATGACCACCTTCACCCATTTTGCCCACTGCCTAAACCTCCCACTTCTGACAACTACCAATCTGTTCAATGTATCTACGAGCGCAGTATTGTTTGCTTCAAGATACCATATATACGTGACGTTATATAGTACTGGTTCTCTCTATAGTACTGTCTGATTTATTCCACTTAGCATAATGCCCTGAAGGTCCGTTATGTTGCTGCAAATGACAGAATTTCCTTTACTGGCTAAATAATATTCCTATGTGTGTGCACACAAGTGTGTGTAGTATATATCACATTTTCTTTATCCATTTATTTGTCGATGGACACTCGGGTGTTTCCATGTCTTGACTACTGTCAACAATGCTGCAATAACATGGGAGTTGCAGGTATCTTTTCAAGATGGTGATCTCACTGCCTTCAGAAAAGTGCCCAGCAGCAGAACTGCTGGATCATATGGTAGTTCTATTTTAAATGTTTTTGAGGAACTTCCATACTGTTTTCCATAGTGGTTACACCAATTTACATTCTTAGAAACAGTATGCAAGGGTTCCCCTTTCTTCATATCCTTGCTAACATTTGTTGTCTTATCTTTTTGCTGACAGCCATTCTAACAGGTGGGAGGTGGTATCCATTGTGGTTTTGGTTTATATTTCCCTGATGATTAGTGAAGCACCTTTACATGCACCTGTTGGCCATCTCTAGGTCATCTTTGGAAAAATGTTCAGGTCCTCTATCTGTATTCTACTCAGATTTTTTTCTTCTGTTGGATTGTAGGAATTCTGTATATGTCTTGGATATTAACCCCTTATATATGATTAGCAAATATTTTTTCTCACACCATAGGTTGCCTTTTCATTTTCTGAATTTCCTTTGCTGTAGAGATGCCTTTTTGTTTGCTGCAGTCCCATGTATTTATTTTTGCTTTTCTGTCTTTTGGTGTCAAATACAAAAAATCATTGCCAACACAAATGTCAAGGAGCTTATTAACCTCTATGTTTTCTTCTAGGGGTTTTGTGATTTCAGGTCTTATGTTCAAGTCTTCAACCCATTTTTAGTTGATTTTTGTGTAAGGTGTTAAGACAGCTGTTCAGTTTCATTCTTCTACATATGGCTGTCCAGTTTTCCCAACACCATTTATTGAAGAGACTGTCATTTCCCAATGTATATTCTTGGCTCCTGTGTTGTAAATTAGTTGACTGTATTATGCGTAGGTTTATTTCTGGGTGTTCTGTTCTGTTCCATCGACCCATGAGTCTATTTTATGCTAACACATTACTGTTTTAATTTCCGTAAGTCTTATAATCTGTTTTGAAATCATGAAGTGTGAGGCCTCTGGATTTATTCTTTTTTCTCAAGAGTGCTCTGGCTATTGGGAGTCTTTTGTGGCTCCACATATAAACTCTGGGATTGTTTCTTCTGTACCTGTGAAAGGACCACTGAATTTTGATTGGGATTGCGT